ACATTTAGAAAGTACATGCTATTGCAAGCAAAATAATATCAAACTGGCAAAATTTCATTGAGAAATAAAAAAGTTATGGCCATTCAAGAGAACACACCAGACTAGTATGATTAATGAGTAATATATGACATGATGATGGATTCTCCGTATGAAAATTTTAGTCCTCATAATTTATCACTTTACATGTAGAAAGTACATGCTATTGCAAGCAAAATAATTCCAAATTGGCAAAATTTCATTGAGAAATAAAAAAGTTATGGCCATTCATTAGAACACACCAGACTAGTACAATTAACGGAGTAATATGACATGATGATGGATTCTCCCAATGAAAATTTCAGTCCTCTTACAATTTATCAATTGACATTTAGAAAGTACATGCTATTGCAAGCAAAATAATATCAAATTGGCAAAATTTCATTGAGAAATAAAAAAGTTATGGCCATTCAAGAGAACACACAATTAAGTACAATTGACAGAGTATAATATGATGATGGATTCTCCCAATGAAAATTTCAGTCCTTTTACAATTTATCAATTGACATTTAGAAAGTACATGCTATTGCAAGCAAAATAATATCAAATTGGCAAAATTTCATTGAGAAATAAAAAAGTTATGGCCATTCAAGAGAACACACAATTAAGTATGATTGACAGAGTATAATATGATGATGGATTCTCCCTATGAAAATTTCAGTCCTCTTACAATTTATCAATTGACATTTAGAAAGTACATGCTATTGCAAGCAAAATAATATCAAATTGGCAAAATTTCATTGAGAAATAAAAAAGTTATGGCCATTCAAGAGAACACACAATTAAGTACGATTGACAGAGTATAATATGATGATGGATTCTCCCTATAAAAATTTCAGTCCTCTTACAATTTATCATTTTACATTTAAAAAGTACATGCTATTGCAAGCAAAATAATATCAAATTGGCAAAATTTCATTCAGAAATAAAAAAGTTATGGCCATTCAAGAGAACACACCAGTACGATTGACAGAGTATAATATGATGATGGATTCTCCCTATGAAAATTTCAGTCCTCTTACAATTTATCAATTGACATTTAAAAAGTACATGCTATTGCAAGCAAAATAATATCAAATTGGCAAAATTTCATTGAGAAATAAAAAAGTTATGGCCAATCAAGAGAACACACCAGTACGATTGACAGAGTATAATATGATGATGGATTCTCCCTATGAAAATTTCAGTCCTTTTACAATTTATCATTTTACATTTAGAAAGTACATGCTATTGCAAGCAAAATAATATCAAATTGGCGAAATTTCATTGAGAAATAAAAAAAGTTATATATAGCCATTTAAGAGAACACACCAGTATGATTAGGTGAGTTTAATTAACATGGCAAATGTTCCCTATGAAAATTGAAGTCTTAATTTTTACAATATCAGAATTTCTACTCTTTTCTATATCAGTATAACTTTAAATTTTGGGTCATTTTTAAATTTAAAGGATTGTAATTATATTGATAATTTTTTCAAGGAATGAATCAAAGAGCTGAGATGTATACCTATATAGTTTTTCTTCATACAAAAACTTACGATGAAATATGGCACAGTTAGATATTCTTCATTTAATTTATACACTTATTATTATCATTAAATTTCCCAAACAATTAGTTATGAAATGAAAAATACAATTTCTGGTAAATTGAGTCTAAATTCTGTAAGTGATTGTAATCTGCACCATAAAAGACAGTACTGAATGCATTGTAATAGGAAAGGTCATATTATATGTATGCATATATATAAATTGGTAAAATTAAATTGAAATGTTAGAAAAGTATATTTTATGAATATATATTTTTAATCTGTTAAATAAGAAAAAAATAAAATGTTGAATAAATGATGGTTTTTTAATTATGAAAATGAGTTGCAACAGATCTTTGAATGAGCAAACCATGAAGCCTCATGTGTACATTCAAATACATGTATTTTGAATTTTTTTTATTTTTTGAAACAGATACCAATAACTGTTTTCATGTGATAATAGCACTAACAATATAATTAGTCCAACATGTTGTTACCTAAACTTAATTAACAAGGTTAACTATATTTACTAATTATTAGCCATTGTCATCTTCATTGTTTTGCAGTAAAAAAAAAACTATAACTATACATATTTTTGTATGTCCATTAATCAACACTTTAAAATGTTGTTGTTTTTTCTTGGAAAATGTTTTAAAATAATTTTTAGAGTAGGTACTCCAAAACAAAGTATATACACAAATTGATAATAAACAGGAAATGGCTCGAGTCATCATCAGTCGGTGTGGAGATGAATTGTTGAATATATGTGTATATCACCGTTTACATTGAAGTTCTGGGAAAAAAAGATGTGAGAATATTCCCTTCAGGCTAAATTTTACAATATATTTTCAAAGGTGTGAAATTGGAATCCATTCAATGATTTCAATCTGATCACTCTTTTACAACATTATATAAGATTTTCCAGAATCAATAAATTACTCTAGATCTCTTGAAAATTCTTCAGCAAATCAAAGATACTGAAATACAATCAAGCCTTTGGAAGCAATTTCAGTACTCTTTTGAGATGGGGTGGGGTACATGTAAGGAGGTGGGCTCAACTGATGAAGAATTTATAGAAGCATACAACTTTTATAATTTTGTTGCATAATATTCGTAGCGTAAAAGAGACGTCTGCATATGGGGGCAACATTTCTTCTGCTTGATTTTTTAAAATTGTTTTAATTTTAATTTTTGTTTTACTTAATAACGATAAAATGTATGAATCTTTAGCTTTCCACTCTTACTCTGTATTTGGTGTTGATGTGCAGTGCTAAGTTTGTACAATCTCGTAAGATTTCAATACATCTATATAAAAAAAAAACCTGAAATAGACTTGAAATTAAACAACAGTGGCCTTATCGGCAGACATATGGCTGCAATTAGCCCTTTGTTTTATTTCACAAGTCCTGCATCTAGTATCTGAAATGTACTGTTTGTACACTTTGAATACAAGATTATTGATAGGAAAGTTAAGTATATGTGTATACTTTTCACACGGAATTTACATTTGGTACATCATTAACTTTCAAATATCAAATTATATATTTTTATTCATTTTTTCTATTTACAATTTAATCAGTTTGCTCTTCCACGAAAGATATTTTTAAATGCGAATGTGATCTACAGGATAACATTAAAACAAGGTGATTGAAGTTATATAGTAGAATGACATATTATCTTCTTTATATACCAACAGTCCTAAGGGGACCGCTTTGATTATTGACTATAATTTAAATCAAGGATCTATAAATTGTCATTTTTTTCTACTAAACTTTAAAAAAAATTCCTTTTCGTCCAAAGTTTCTTAAAATAAAAGTTACATTGGCTATTATTGTTCAGATGAAAAAAATAAATCACGTAAACGTAAAGACCATAAGTATTTAAAATCTATAACTTACATTCTAGAAAGGGACATAACTCTGTAAAGAGTATCGTATTATGCTATAGTGTCCTCGATCGGACATAGATATTCTTTAAGCTAGAGTTAAAGCTATAATTTTATAAATGATTTATTTTTATTTTATCGATAAAAAACAATAATAGGACATATTCATAAATGCGTCACAAGACCCACTTCGAGATATTGACTCTGCTGACTTCTAAACGCTTTAGCTTTGGACGGTACTATATTTTTGGACGGGGGTGTCGATCCCAAGTTAAGCTCAATCTTTTTCTTTTTTTTTTTTTTTTTTGGATATTTGTCATCTGAGTTTGATTTCACAGAAAAATAATCAACTTCTGTTGTATTACCTGTTTTTCTTAATCTTGCAGTAAATGTTTGAATACTAATAAAGCAACTTAAGTCTGCTGTTAAACCTACCCCCCCCCCCCCTCCCCTTGCTAACTTCCAAGAAACCAATATCTTCACCCCAGATCTCCATAGGGTATGATACATGTATGTATATACCTAGAGGCATTTAAGAGTCTTTTGTTTTCCCCAGGTAGCAAAACTGTCACAATTTGCTTGGAACTAACAAAACATACACAAGGGATACTAACACACAGCAAGTCGATTTAACAAATGAATCTACAATAGAAATTCATGAAAAACAAACTCCATGCTTTTACTAAACCTTCGGATTAAGTCATATTTTTTTTTTTTATTTTCAATTTAAAAATTAAATCCAAACAATTTTACATCGTTCATAATTGATAGCAAAGAATTAATATAAAATTGCATACCCCCCCCCCCCTTAAGGACAGATGATACAAACAAACGTTTGTCAAAAAATTCGAAAATATAAACTTGAATCATGTTTATGAAAGTAAAATGAATGCTCGTATAGCTTTTGATTTTTCATTCTACATTTCACAAAAATGGGATTTGAAGTGACAAAAATTTATAGGTTACTATTGATTATCACATGAAGGATGGTTGGTGAATGATACAATTTTGAACATCATAGAAGGTTAACAATATATCAAAATGTCGTGAATTAAAAGAAGAAGAAGGGGCTTTATTGAGGCTATGTACTGACTGGACTTTTAAACTTGTACTGAATATCCCACTGACCATGCAAATAAAATTTTCTTGACTTTTCAAGGGAAACATTAATTTTTATTTTAGAGATACAGAGAGACTACCCACCCGTCCACTACCCCTCCTCCTTCTTATCATGTTCTCAATGATCATGATGATGTCCCATTTATATAAAATGTTAATATTTTTGGTATTGGGCATTTTAATTACCATTATTACCCATGGCAGTATTTACAACAACAACAAAAAAAAATCTGAAAAAAAATAGGCTGATAATTTATTTCATTTCTTTGTTTTCTCGTGAACTATGCATTGTTTAAATTAAAAAAAGATAAACCAATAAATAAAAAGAAGCAGTAATATTCTATCTATGGATTCACTTCTTAAAAATTCTGTGCAGACGGATGCATTATATTCCTAGAATTACCCAATACCAACCAAAGAAAAATAAACGGCGACAAGATTATGAGGATATTGGAATTTCCACATGATGTTTGTATACAAAATTATGACGAAGACCTGCTCTATTTTTGTAAGTAGATCTAGAATTATTGAATTTGTTATTTATTTCATTTAAAGCATGTTAATAGACTTTTTTTTTTTTTTGAAGTCTAAAGATCTATAGATCATCCTGATTCCTCGTTAACTGATGAAACAATCTTATGAATTTCTGTCACTGTAAAGTGTTTGCAGAGCTAGCAGTCGATGGGGTTATTCAGTAGTACATTATACAAGTTAACAAAGTAAATAATCGTCAGAAAATTATACACATCGGAATATTATTCTTTCGTTCGAATTTCCTCAATGACAACGTTGTAGGCTAGTATTCGTTCGTTCGAATATTCTAAATGTGTACACTAGCTGATGATTGTACTTAAAAAATTATACTGTCATGTCTAAATTTGTCTGTAATTTGCAAGTTACAATTTATAAGTATCTTGATCACAGTCATCAGCATTACTGATTAGAAAATTAATTATCTTCTCTCAGACATGGTTAAAAGTATCCTACTACTGTAGTGTACTAGGGATTAACAAACATTGCATGTGTTGCAAGTACTATTTTTTTTTTTTTTTTTTTTTTTTTTTTTTGTGTCAAGATAAAATTTTGAGATATGGGGGGTCAGTGCTTATAGTACATGTCATGATGGACATAATTAATAACCCCCAAAACTCCTACTTATATTGTTTGGAAGTATCCAAATATCAAATTACTAATTCTCTGTTAGAAAATTGGTTGATCCTCTGAAGTTTACATAGGACATGTACCCACATGATTATTGATATAATCAATGGGTTTTTTTTTTAATCTCTGAAAAACAGTCTTAAAACTTTGAGTGAAAAATCAATCTTTATACTGCTAAACTCATTTTTTATACCATGAATACATACTTAGGAATATCATTATTAAGTTATGTTCATGTTCTTTTGAGGGGAAAAAATATACATCATGTAGATGCTTATATGTAAGTAAATTATAAAAGACAAAAATGCTAGGACTTTATTATTTACCATATTTATTTGTAAAAATATTTTTTCTATTAATTGGAAATGAAATAAAAAAAAGTTCTAGCTTTATTACTAATAATATGATTTTTTATTAGAATTGATAGGATATTGGATGTTTAAGAAATAAAGACCGCATTCTCGTGAATGTTGCAGGATAACCTGCAATGTTAATGTAGACATAGATTTAAATTACACAAGGACTCCCATGCCAATTTCAATAGTCCTCGCCCACTGAAGTCAAACACAAAGGTAGTCGCACGAGATTTACATGCATATTTAGCCTCCTTAGCGTCAGACACAGAGACAGGTGCGCACGAGATTTTCATGCATATTAGGCCTTCTTAGCTCCTGACCTATCGACCTGCCTAATTTACATTCCGATAGAATTATCAAGAAATCAATTCCGCTAACTCTCAAAGAGTTACCACAGAGAAAAAAAAACAGACATGGAAATATTATGGCATGACATCATGAAAAATTCTCAAGGGCATAAAACTACTATAATACAGATATCGGTAAATGTATGCAGAACATGCACAAAGTTTCATTTATGGTATATTGATAGATAAAAATAATTTATACTTTTATACTTCGACCTCAGTAGGGGTAGATTTTAGTGTCAGTCATTTTGGCTGGATCGAGAAATTTGAGTGATTGATATTCAATTCATTTTCTAATTTTAGTGAAAAATTTAATCCATGCTTTGTTATTATACATGTAATTGGTATTGTATGATTTATTCTATTTTTTTTCTTTAACAGAAAATGAAGGTATAGTAGCTGACATATAGTGTACATGTACCACTTGAAGATTTGTCCCCCTTGTAGATACAAGAAATGCAAAGGTAATTCTTTGTGAAAATAGAGAGAATGAATAATAAAATTTTTCAAACCATACAACAAAAACTACTTTGAATAATTAGTACGCAACCAACCATTTACAATTTAATTTTGCAGTTTTATTTCTTTAACATTGAAAAAAAAATCAAATTTGATATTTTTTTTAGCTCTACTGGTCAGAGACCAGAAGAGCTTATGGGATAGGAAGGTGTCCCTCGTCCATCCATCTAGCTGTCCGTCTGTCTGTCTGTCCATGGCGTCTAGTTGTCTGTCTGTCTAGCTGTCCATCTGTCTGTAATTTTTCAAAACACTACTCCTCCTACAGTTTTATTCTGATTTCAATATAACTTAGACTGCACTAAGGTACATTTCAATGAACGGTGCTGCCATGGTTACTAAGAATAGAAATTTCTGTAAAATTCCTTTAAAACGCTACTCAACCTACAATTTTGGTATGATTTCAATATAATGTGGCACACAAGTAGACTACACTTAGATACATAATTCTGTTTATTGCTGTCTGTTGCAAAGTTTCAAATCCAAGTGTTACTTTTTCTTTGTTATACATATAGACCAGTAGAGCTACAGTCTCATCAGAGACTTCTGGTTTATCCTTTTCATCACACAGCGACTTTCTTTTTTTTCAGTGTACACAGATACATACACATAAAAGGAGACATCACCTCATGATCTGTGGATCCATTGAAAACTTTAAGGACAAAACTTTTGATAATTCATTCATGTATAGAGTGTTGACTCGAATATTGAATATCTAATGAATGGAACCAAGAGAATTAATTTAAGAAGTATTATATTGTATATTACTCTTTTTATTCATCTGTCAAATTTCTTAATTAAAAATTAAACTTAAAGGCTTAAATAAGGATTTTTTTTATTATTTTAATTAGAACAAGTTCTTTAATTTATTTTTCTCTTATATAAACGGGCATTTAAGGTCATACGCAACGTAGTTTGCACTTTATTGGGTTCTTCCCTGGAGTTGAAGAGTTCCACTAAATGAAGGACCTGTGTGCAATATTTTTATTGTCTATATATGGATTTGTAAATCTCTTCTAAAACAATTTTGATAAAAAAAATCTGGAATTTATGTTTTGTAATTTTTGTACATTTTTCTTTGAATAATGCAAAATTTTTCAAACTTTAATATCTTTTCAAAATCCCTGGAAATGCATGCTGATTTTTTGTTTAAAAATATGTTATATGGTACATGTATTATAAGTTTAAATTTAGAATATCTTGAAAAATTATCAGTAGGTAAGGTATCTTGCGTATGTCCTTAAATGTAAAATGAAGGTATGTGTACCTTTATTCAATGAACTAGGGAACTCATGAAGTGTGCATATTTATATAATAGTGTTGTATTTTGCATGCACTATTCTTAAAAAGTAGTCAGGGTTTGACACATGGTGCACAAGCCGGAGGCTTTAGGTATAATGTACAGATAGTTTTAGAGAATAGTAGTTGAGTGATGGGGGCAATTGCAAGAAACTATTTTAGAAGAATTATTTTGTTTATTTTTCATCTCAAGTGTTAGCTGCAGAACTGTAGCTCTCTGAAAAAATATATATTGACAGACGGGAGAGCTACAGTGCCACCCATAGAAAAAACTGTATATTTATTGTGCACTTTTTGTGCGCTGTTTCTCGATTTATTTCTCAGTGTTTTTAAAACTGTCATCTCAAAATATTACTAAACGTGTGTTTCTAACATATTCTTTCACTGTTTCCACAATAAAACATTCCTTATAATTGTTTTTAACAGCCCTCCTGGCCCTGAAATTGAAATCATTGAAAATTTTGCCTATTTATACTGCCATTTTGGTCTTCATGAGAATTCGGTCCAACGCACTTAGTACAAGTGTAAACTACGAAAGTTATAGAGGAGTAAGGACTTTTTTGAAATGTAGCTTTTTTTTCAATTGAGGTAAGAATTTCGAAGAATTAATTCAGAACCGAGCGCACTTTTTTGTGCGCAATAAATATACAGTTTTTTCAATGGGTGGCACTGTAGCTCTCCGGTCTGTCAACATATATTTTTTCTGAGAGCTACAGTTCTGCAGCTACTTAAGTGTAAAATATTTGAAACTAAGTTTATATATATTATAGTACATTCATATTTATAACGGCGTCTGTGTTGTAATCGGTAGCGCGTCGGACTGACAATCTCGGGGTTGTGAGTTCGCTCCCAGGCGTTGGCGCAGTCAGTTTTTCTTCAGAAATTGAAGTTGTGCACTATTTCGGCATAGTATGCTTATGCTATTTAAATCCTTAGAACACTATGCAAGAATAGTAGGGTAATGGTTATGTAGAGACAAACTGACAGGAAGCATAATAATTGACAATATGCATTTATGACAAGAAAATTGAAAATTTTCCTGAAAGAAGTTGAATAAATTTAAGCCACTTAAGTACCAATCTAGTTAAAATTAGATGTTAGATCCGCTCACAGTCACTACAGTCAGTTTAGCGAGTATGCGTGCGGATCTAATATCTTATTTAAATTACACGTAGATTGCTGAGGTAAAAGTTTAATACATGTACCCAATATCATTCTGCTATATTTGCATCTGCGTGGGTATTAACAGTGAGCATTAACTAACTGTGGCCTGGACCTCTTATTTTATGTGTTATGGGGTGTCCAAAACAAGGTGCATGCTGACGTTTAACAAAGAAGAAACTTGCAATGGCCTAAGGTGACTTGGCTATTATCAGTTGAATACATGTCAATGGTGCATGGTTATTATATATACCAAAAAATAACAAGTAAAAGATCAGCAGAGTGCTTTTATTAAAGAAGTAACAGAACTAAGGAAAACTTGTTTTCTACTGGATGATATGAAACAATGAGTAGAGTACCACCGCAAATATTTCTGGATCCATGCCCTTTCATCATGTTTATTTTTGAACGGGTTCAATGAACTGTCAAAAATTCTTGATATGTTTCTAAGGTGTAGGTAGAAAGTTTTGAAATTAGTGAAAAGGTTGTTAAATATTTTTAATGCAAACTACCAGTAAATGTGCATAATGAAGATGGTTGAATTTTTTTCAACATTATTTTCTGTTCATTTGTCAGATCGGGTTCGTTATGTGTAAAATAATTTCCAGCTGTCATTGGAACAAAACAAGGCATGATCAGGATCATACAAAGAAAATTAAAAGTAAAAATTAGGTAAATTATTACAGTTTGTGCATCTAAATAAGTTTTAAAACTCTCTTAAGAATCTCAGAGTGACTGATACGACCCAATTTCATGTGATTTTTTAATTGGAAACCTATCAGTTTAGTGCAGCAAACAGGCAAAGATCTAACAACGTGCATGGATCTGCAGGATCATGTTGTAAAGCTTGACAAATGGCACTTATGCAATAAATTAACCTAAATGATTAGGAGGAAAATAAACAAAAAATGATTTGTTCTTTCTTAATTGCATTTTTTATTTTTCCCATTCAAAATTTACATACAAGGAATAAAAGAAGGTAATCTACATACAAGGGAAATTGCCTTTTTACTTAAAAAACAAAAAAACAAAAAAAAAAACAAAAAAAAAAAAAGAAACTGAAAGTTATAGAGATAAAACCACTTTTGATTTTTTGATCTTTAATCATTGAAAAAATTAAACATTACCCCAAAATTGGTTAATTTTAAGAAATAAAAAAAAAATGGTTTAGGAAACACATAACTTAAATGAAAATAAATAATTAATAGTAGTTGAACTGTTCAATAGTTTCTTTATTTGGTTTAAAATTGTTGTTTCTTTATCCCATGGGAGAATTTTTTTCTATTTTGTAATGAATATGGGATAAATCCCACATTTATAAAGAGATGGGAGATTATCTTCTATATACAAGTATATGGGAGATTTTGTCCCATTATAAAGCATTCATGGGATTTTCAAACTTCTATGGGAGAAAAAATCCCACAGAATACCTTTTTCTCCCACAGAATAATGGTGGGATATTGGTTAGGAGAAAAAATCCCACCATTATCCCATGGGATTTCTTGGTTTCAGGTGTAATATCTTTTTACCTAGAAGATAATCAGGTGTAAATTTTGGTTCATGTGTTAAGTTTTAAAAAATCCCATCAGATGACATAAATGGTTTCCACATATCTTTGGGAAAGTGGTTGGCGAAAGTCCGGACAAATGTCGTGTCCGGAGTTAAATGTCGCACTGTTTTATTTATTTATTAAAATCAGACCCGCCCTGAAGGAATTATCCAAAAAAAAAGAGTGTAGTGACTACTGGCTAATGCCGCTAAGAAACAATTACCAATTCTTGCAGAACATTGGAAGGCTCGATTCAGTGTAATAAAAAAAAATATGGCAGGGGCCGTGCCACCCCAACGCCCAACAATTTTGCCAGTATGTTTTATACTATAGAAAAATAGCTATTTGATGCTTGTGCCTCTATAAAAAAAATGCCTCTGATGGATTTAAAAAAAAAAAAAATCGTGCTTGTCAAGGAATTTTGGTAGTCCCCCCCCCCCCCCGAAATTGCTTCCTACGGGCCTGAAAATTAGGGATAGCCCAGATTAATTTATGGATGTACATACAAGTATATTACTGTATATGTTTAGATTACGGTTAAGCAGAAAAAAAACAGAGTATTTGTACTAAATACACTTCAAAAAGCATAAGTAATTTATACATTGCAGGTGATTGAAAATTTTACCTACTACGGTTCAAATTTAAGTTAGGCCTAGGTGAAATATTAGAGTTTTTACAGACAGACAACTAAATGTAATAGAATGAAACACAGACAGAACAAAAAATATACTGTATATGGTATATATGCGACCGATTTTTGTAATCCTCTACCAAATTCTGTGTTTCGTGGTCATTTTAAAAAAAAAATATTTTTTTTACATTTAATCACCATACATGCAAAATTTATATCCTGTAATTGTGTAAAATTTAATGACTCTCATTGAATTACATGTATAAAATATGAAATTAAAAAAAAATTTGCTAATACTTATGGAAGACCCCCCCCCCCCCATGTTCAATGTGTTGTATCTGTCAATCCATTGCTACGCTTGATTTTTTTTTTGGTTTAAATTGGAGCAATTATAACATTTCTTGCAAACATAAGATGTCTTCAAGCCAGTAATATATTATTTCATTGTCAAATCCAGTAGAAGATTTGGGTTGTTGTGCATTTAGCTTATAGAATAATTTTATAATTGAAAGATTTATGAGATGTTCAACACTTTTTTTTTAAACGTGGTGGTAGGTGGGCAATATTAATATATAGGCATATACCGGTACATGGGCTACAGTTAATTTTCAGCTTTAACCATAAATTTCTTTTTCAGGCACGATAGATAATACAAGAAGGTATATCTTTAAACTCAAATTGTTCGGATCATGCATGTTCTTTTCCGTTTTTAGCATGCTACGGAAAACGACAACGTGATTCAAAGTTCTATCATTTTATTACTAACCATTGAAATTGAAGATTTTTAACATAAAGATTTTATTTTTACTTCATCAACTGAAAATTTTCAGGAGTTCTTATGTATTGTTTGAATGGGAAGTTTAAGGTCAGACGATACGTTCCTCAAATATCTGTTTTGTATATCTTCGAATTATGTGGAAAATATTCAAAATTTTAATTACCTTCTGATTTATAATCAGGTTTCTAATTTTCTTTTAAAAAATGAAACACCAAAAAATGTGATATTGGCTAATTAAGTTTTTTCCAAAAGGATTTATAGGAAAAACATCTTCTGGTATCTTGCACAAATGCCTGGTAAGGTACCTCAATTTTTTGCAAGTAAACATGTTAAAGTATCAATACTTCAATGACAAAATCTTAGAAAAAATTATATATTATTGAGGAACGTATCGTCTGTCCTTAATGAACCACAAATTATGTTGAGTATTTATTATTTAGTACTAACGATCTTCAAGATTTCAAAACATTTACGGGTTATCCTACTTAAGAAATATTAACGTGCAGAAAAAAAATATAATAGTTTACAGTGTATGCTACACACATGGTGTTTTTCTCGGTTAAGCACAAAACTTTGAATAGTTTAAAGAAGAAGCCACCTTTTCCCGACTTGCGGGGATGGGGTGCGGGTGCCACTTTACCCTTTGGTCTTGGGATCTTCTGTATCGGCTTCTATAGATCAACATGTAGATGTTTACTTCTGGTACACATATCTCTTATTAATTTTTAACTTTATAATTGCGACTATTTAATTTCAAGAATTCTTAAAGAAGCTCTAAACACTGCATACTAAAGAGTTCTACTTGTTGGGTAGTTTTCACTCGGCACACCTCGGCCGATTCGTACCTCTGTGATGAAGGTGACGGAATCACCCGAGGTTTGCCGAATGGGGTAGTTTTATGCAGTTAGAGTGAGCTGCCCTTAGAAGTAAGATAGGTGTTAGTTTGTGTGAAAGCCCCCCCCCCCCTTTCCCCTTGGGAAAAAATTCCTGGATCTGCCCTTGCAAGTTGCAACAGATTTTAACATAAAATGCCTATACAAAGGATTAG